GTGTTGTTGGTGCATTCTTTGTGCAAGGGAAATCTTCAGCCACCATTCTGCCTCCTGGTGGTGAATGCTGCTTGGTCCCTGCGAGTGAAAGAGGGGGTGGCAGAGCTATGAAGCTGCTTCTCAGCATGGTTCCTGTATTGACTGATTGTCTTTAAATTTCTCCTGGCCTTTCATGCCACTCCAACAAACATCCTACACAGCTAGTTCTAGCCATGCCTCCATCATGAAGCCCCTCATGGTCACTCAAAAACATAGTGCACTCTGCTTTTTTCCATTTCCTTTGAAACTTATAAAAATTACCTTGTCTCTTAAGTTTTCATGAGTATATTTCTTTCAAGTTAGGTAGTATGGTCCTTGATGGCAAGGATCGTGGCTTGTATTTCTCAATTAATTTTGTGGTCTGAACATCTTCTGTTCTGATGCTGGAGAAATCAGCTCAGCTCTGTAGGAGCAAAGAATCCTATTTGAGCCGTCTCTTACGTCTTTGATTTGGCGCCCCGTGCTCACAGGCATTCATGGCAATCCTCGACATTAAGCTGGAAGTGGTTACTTATCTATCCTGAAGCCCCACTCCCAGATTCTTAAAGGCGATGAGAAAACTCTCAAACAGTAAAGGGATCAGGAATTCCTAACTAAAAACAACGATGATGACATTGGTGTCCTTTCCACTTCCAGTCCTAGCTGGCTCCAGGAATCCGTGTGTACCAGGAAGTTTTGCTTCTGGTTCAGTCTGAGTTTAAATGTGGACTGAAGTGGAGTCATCGTGGTCCCCTGAGACGTCAGATAGTCATCTCAAAAATGAAAAACCAACTTCTCTTGTTCTCCTCAAGCCTTGTTTATTTTCTCAAAAAGCCTATTTTGCAAAGGAGGAAGCTTCAAAGAAAATACTTTAGATCAATCAAAGAACATAATACCTGAGAGGGGCTGGGCCTTCCTTCTGACCATAACTATTTTAAGTGGTCCCCAGCCTATTCCACAATTTTAGGAAGGGAAGGGCCTGAGATGAACCTGCAGAACTGGTCAGGACGTTCCCGTGGTGCTTGTTACGGCTTTCCTCGGACCGTCTCATACCTCCCACCTCATTTCAGAAAGAGAAACCAGTGTCCTCCCAGTGATTGGTTCTCATCTGGAGTCAAGGTGGTGGATCCCAACCTAAATCCTGCGCTATTTCTTTCTAGTCCACGTTCTGGAGAACAGGAGGCTCTGTGAGGGCGTCTGAGGGTCGTTTAGAATCTGTGTATATTTTGGGGGCGGGATCAGGGAGAGAACAGGTGTTAAAACAGTTTCTGTTATACCTTCAGTTTGCAAAGTGGGAATATCTTTATTTTTTTTTCTATATGGAAGTAGTACGTGCTAATTTGTCAAAAATTGAGGTAATACACAAAAGTTTAAAGAGAAAGAATTCAATAGCCATTAGCATTTTGGGGCACATTCTACACATGCAAACACTTATACTTACAAAAGTGAGGTTGTGTTAGATAGTGTTTTGTTACCTGATTCAGTTACTTAAAAATGCATCATGAATCTATCAGTCAGGATAGGCTATGCTACGCCGTGGTAACAACCCCCCAATCTCAACGTGTTAAATACCAGACGTTTTTTTCTTGCTCATACAACTTGTCCGTCTTGCGTTGGCAGTGGAGCAAGTATGCACACTGTGGTCACTCAGGAACTTGGGCTACATGGAGCAGCTGCCATCTCAAGTGTTGCTCATCCCCGTGCCAGAGAAAAGGCAGTTCTGGAGGAGCACACATCTGTAATTAAATACTTGGCCCAGAAGTGACAAACGCTACTTACATTCGTAACTTACTCGCCTGAGCTAGTCTCATGGCCCTGCCGTCCACAAGGGGGCCAGGAAATGCAATACTTCTGGCAGAGAGCTGGAGAAGCATTTGGTGAACAGCACAGAAGTCCAATAAAATGAACATTTATTGGTGCCAATAAATATAGATCCTAAATAGAGATCATTGTATTCTAATTAATCTGTGTATCATAATATATTTAACCAAACCACTTTTAAAGGATATTTTAGGCTATTCCCAATTCTTATCAATTGTTTTAAAAGTTGCAAAGAATTTTCTTCACATTCATTGTTTTCTATGAATTTTTTTCCCCTTATGATACTTTTCTGTGAGTAGAATTTCCAAAACACATGCGTACTGGTGGGAATGTAAAATGTTGCAGCCACTTTGGAAAACAGTTTGGCAATTTCTTAAAAGTTAAATTTACCATACAACCCAGGAATTCCACTCCTGGGTTTTTCTACCTGTGGGGAATAAAAACATGCGTCTGACACAAAGACTTGCATGTGATGTTTAATGCAAGTTCCACATTGTGAAAAATAGCCGAAAAGCCAAAAGACCAAAACATCCTTCAACTGATGAATGGATCAACAAAGTGTAGTCTATCCATACAATGGACTATTATTCAGACATGAAAAGGAATGAAGGCCTGATATGTGCTACAACGTGGATGAATCTTGAAAAGATAGTAGTAAGTGGAAAAAGCCAGTCACGAAAGATTGACGCCATTTATATGAAATGTCCAGAATGAGCAAATCCGTAGAGACAAATTGAATTAGTGGTTGCCTAGGGCTGGGGGAAAGGCCGGGTTTGGGAGGTGAGAGCACAGGGGCACAAGGTTTCTTCTGGGATGATAAAATGTTCTAAATTGATTGTGGTGATGGTTGCACCACCCTGTGAATATACTAAAAAACATTGAATTGTGCACTTTAATTGAATGAATTTTATTCTTTGTAAATTATACCTCATAAAGCTGTTTAAAAAAGATATGCATAAAATCCAGGCATATTTTTCAAGTTTTTGATCCACATTGTCAAATTGCCCTCCAGAAAGGACATTTTTTTTTTTTTGAGGAAGATTAGCCCTGAGCTAACTGCTGCCAATCCTCCTCTTTTTGTTGAGGAAGACTGGCCCTGAGCTAACATCCATGCCCATCTTCCTCTACTTTATATATGGGACGCCTACCACAGCATGGCTTTTGCCAAGCAATGCCATGTCTGCACCCGGGATCTGAACTGGCGCACCCTGGGCTGCCGAGAAGCGGAACATGCGAACTTAACTGCTGCGCCACCAGGCCCACCCCTGGACAATTTTTTAAATTTTTAAATGTTTCAGTTTTTTTCATTGAGGTCATAATGGCTTATAACTGTGAAATTTCAGTTGCACATTATTATTTGTCAGTCATGACATGAATGTGCCCCTTCACGCCTTGTGCCCATCCCGCAATCCCCTTCCCCCAGTAACCACTAAACTGTTGTCTTTATCCATGTGTTTGTTTATCTTCCACATGTGAGAGAAATCATATGGTGTTTGTTTTTCTCTGTTTGGCTTATTTCACTTAACATAATAACCTCAAGGTCCATCCATGTTGTTATGAATGGGACGATTTTGTCATTTTTTTATGGCTGAGTGGTATGCCATTGTATATATATACGACATCTTCTTCATTCATCAGTCAGTGGGCACTTGGGTTGCTTTCACGTCTTGGCTATAGTGAATAATGCTGCCATGAACGTAGGGGTGCCTAAGTCTCCTTGAAATGTTGATTTCAAGTTCTTTGGATAAATATCCAGTAGTGGGATAGCTGGATTGTATGGTATTTCTACATTTAATTTTTTGATAAATCTCTATACTGTTTTCCATAGTGGCCCCTCCAGTTTGCATTCCCACCGGCAGTGGATGGGGGTCCCCTTTTCTCCATAAGCTCTCCAACACTTCTTATTTTTTGTCTTGTTGATTGTAGCCATTCAAATGGGTGTAAGGTGATATGTTAGTGTTGTTTTGATTTGCATTTCCCTGATGATCAGTGCATGTTGAGCATCTTTTCATGTGCCTATTGGTCATCTGTATATCTTCTTTGAAAAAATATCTGTTCATATCCTCTGGCCGTTTTTTGATTGGGTTGGTTTTTGTTGTTGTTGAGTTTTCTGAGTTCTTTATATATTATGGAAATTAACCCCTTGTTGGATATATGATTTGCAAATATTTTCTCGAAGTTGTCTTTTCATTTTGTTCCTGGTTTCGTTTGCCTTGCAGAAGCCCTTTAGTCTGATGAAATCCCACTTGTTTATTTTTTCTTTTGTTTCCCTTATCTGAGTAGACATGGTATTTGAATAGATCCTTTTGAGATGGATGTCAGAGAGTGTACCGCCTATATTTTCTTCTAGAAGTTTTATGGTTTCAGGTCTTACTTTTAAATCTTTGATCCATTTTGAGTTTATCTTTGTGTATGGCGAATGATAATGGTCTACTTTCACTTTTTTGCATGTGGCTGTCCAGTTTTCCCAACACCATTTATTGAAGAGCCTTTCCCAGAAAGGATGATTTTTTTCCTCACAAGAATAGCAGTTAACATTCCTCTTATTTAAACAGTGACTTGCCGTGAGTAATGTTCAACAGCCAGCTAGGACTTTAGTCCACACTGCCTGGTTGATCGACATGATTTTTCAAAATGAGGATTTTATCACCTTCCCTTCACCTCCTCTGCACATGGGAAAGTATAGCATGTAGCATATCATCAGAAAAAATACAGTAGTAAAATTCAAGGTAAGTTATTTTGCTTCCAGAGTTTTCTGGAGTTTTGAGTTGAATAATTGAGCCCATCAGAATAAGGCTGAACGTGTTTATCATTGTAATAGACACAATAGCAAAGAGTTGATTTTCAAGCCCAAAATAAAATGAAAAACAGAATACAAATATTGTAGTGAACTCTTTGTTTTTCTTATTGCACCCAGGCCCCTCTAACAGATTTAGGAACACTCAGATCATGAGGTAGTGTGCCATTGTGGGTTAAGAAGTCAGCCAGGTCCAGGAGGGATGAATTCTAATTCTGGCCTGCAAGCTTCCTGATTCAAGGTCAAAACTGCTTTTCAGGCTGGATAGCCCTTTTTGTGAATCTGAATTTATTTTAACCCCCTCATGTATCTCCTTTAAGAATGACCTCACAATCATTTTTCATGACTCTTCTCTTTTTTATAGGTTGGAGTCAGGGTCCCGAGGCAACTCAGGCTGTTGCAAAGACTGGTATGTATATTCATGGTTACCTCTTAAAAGTCTGTTCCCTCTGTCAACTTGAAAACCACATTTGCCTGTTATTTTTTCCTCCAAATGAAATTATTTGGGAATAGTCAAAAGAATGGCAGTTTGGGACATGCATGCTGTGGGGAACCATAAGCAAACCCAGCAAACAAAGGAGCGGAGCTGCTTTTACAGAGAAAAAGGGGGAATGGGTGGGGGCTGCTCTAAAGGAAAGTCCGTTGGGGGAGGAGTAACAGTTCAGGGTGGCAACGGCTTCTCATTGGCTGAACTGTGATGTTTCTCATTGGCTGAGCTGTGGTGTCTCTCATTGGCTGAGCTGCTGCGTTTCTCATTGGCTGGACTGCTGCATTTCTCATTGGCTGAGCTGCAGCATTTCTCATTGGCTGAGCTGCAGCATTTCTCATTGGCTGGGCTGTTGCAGGCAAGGGAGAGAAATCTTCCTTCAGTAGTAAAGTAGTTGTGCTTCCTGTCAAAGATGCCAGCCTCCCTCTCCTCCTGTTTGGTGTAATTAACAATGTGTGATCGGACCTGAGAGCTCCCTCTAGAGGCCCTCCTAACTCTGATTTAGCTAAAGTTTCTTTTATTAATTTCCACACTTCACTTATTCTGTGTATCTTGAACCAGGCACTAGTTTTGCTTGCGACTCCCCCAAAGCTTATGAAGTTGCTTGTAGAAGAATTCTAATATGAAACAGCATAGCTTTGATAAGACTTCTTTAAGTGGATTTTTCTTTCTGGGAAAAGACCTCATTATTTTAGTAGGAATTCAAGGACAAAGTATGGAGTTTCAAAGTCCTTCTTTAAAAAAACCAAAAAACCTAAATTAACTTTTACTGTTTTATGACATGCTTACACAAGAAATAAAGACTTTTTTTTGTTCTGAAGTGAACAACTAAAGCAAGCAAAGAATTCACATTTGTAAATTAAAGCTTCGTGGGAGGCACGTTGGACAAAGCTCTCAATGCATGTAGGAGGCTAACAGATGGAGCTTGGGCAAACGTTCTGGAACTCTGAGAGCTGATGTGAAACCATCTCAGTTCTTCCTTACTACTGTGTGTACAATGACGTATCAGAATGTGGGGACATGCCTTCAGGCTCTGGGGTGTGGCTTCCCAAGCATTTCCTCAAGGGTGACGGGTTTATCCAAGGCCTCCTTACACCTGGTGGGTGTTTGAGTCAATTCTAGCTTTATCATGACCAGTGTCACAATCATGACCACCTTTGTTTGGACCAAGACTTTGCGTTCCTGTCATTTCTGCTTGGTTAGAATTGGTAAGAGGTGGTAGAACCAAGATCTGAGTCCCAACACTCTGATTCTGAGTCTGTGCTCTTAACGAATACACCAAACTGCCTTCTCAATTCTATTTCTATTTCTTATTATTTTAGCTCAGCCATACGTCACCTGGCCTTGCTCTATCCATTCTTTTAGATCATGAAAAGTATTCCGTGTTGTTGGCACACCATAATTTATTAAGCATTCTACTATTGATGAGCTTTCAATTTGTTTCCATTTCTTTTTTGCCCCTGTAAATAATGCTGCAAAAAACATTTTGTTTATTCCATCATATGGGTGCTTTTGATTCTGTGGCCTAGATTTTCAGTAGCAGGATTGCTGGATCCAAGTGCATAGACATTTTACATTTTGATAGATGTTGTCAGACTCCTTTTGAATGCTGTTACTCCTAATACTATCTGTATATATTCCATGTCTGTCAGCAGTGATGAATATGCACATTTCTGCCAGGAAGGATATGATTACTCTTTTTGATTTGTCAGTCTCTTAGATATAAAGTACATTTTGTTGTTCCTTTAACTTGCATTTCCTTGACTATGTATGAGTTTGGACTTTTTTTTATATATTTATCGGCCATTCAGAGTAGTTCTTCTGTGAATTATTGTTTTTTAAGGTCTGGTGCCCATTTTTCTGTCGTGTTTTTTATCACCTAATTGTCAATGGGTCAGAGATCTTTGTGTGTTATAGATATTCTGTCTTCTGAATTGGAAGAGTTTGCTCCTAAATCTGTTGTTTGTCTACTTACTTTGTTTATGGTGTATTTGCCGTATAAAAGTTTCAAGTGCCTGGGGCCGGCCCGGTGGTGCAGCAGTTAAGTGTGCACATTCTGCTTTGGCAGCCCGGGGTTCACCAGTTTGGATCCCGGGTGCGGACATGGCACCGCTTGCTGAGCCATGCTGTGGTAGGAGTCCCACGTATAAAGTAGAGGAAGATGGGCACGGATGTTAGCTCAGGGCCACGCTTCCTCAGCTAAAAGAGGAGGATTGGCAGCAATTAGCTCAGGGCTAATGTTCCTCAAAAAAAAAAAGAAGTTTTAAGTTCCTAAGTAATAAATAAATAAGTAAATAAATTAAAAAATGTATCTTTTCGTTACAGCCTCTGAGTTTTCATTCTTGGTTACAAAGATTTTCTTGACCCTTTGGCTTATACTGTTTATGTGATTACTTAGATTTTCTTAGAAATCTCTTTGAATTTTAAAAGTCTTACTTTTACATGTATTAGGCTTTTTTAACATGAACTTTGTTTAGCCATCCAACTGGTACCAGAATGCTCTTTCCAGCAGTAGGCCTGTGCTTTGCTTTCTTTTGCAAATGTCTTCAATGACTCATATCATCTGTAGGATTAACTCCAAGACACAGCCCCTGCCCTCGGGAGGTGAGATGACGACAGGCAATTGTTTTAGGAAAACCAAGCCAGCATCTCTTAAGCACTATGGAGACTCAGACACAAAGATAACCTTGCTGTTCAAAATATAACATTTTTGTATATGTGACACCAGAGAGCTTCATAAAAAGAGCATGTAATTAATTCAGAATTGTAACAGCTATTCTAAAATTTATAGGGGCCAGTCCTATGGCCAAGTGGTTAAGTTTGTACACTCTGCTTCAGCGGCCCAGGGTTTCGCCACTTCGGATCCTGGGCACGGACCTAGCACCGCTCATCAAGCCTTGCTGTGGATGCATCCCACATGGTAGAACCAGAGGGACCTGCAACAAGAATATGCAACTGTGTACTGGGGGGCTTTGGGGAGAAGAAGAAGAAGGAAAAAAAAGATTGGCAACAGATGTTAGCTCAGGTGCCAATCTTTAATAAATAAATATATAAAATTTATAGGCAGGATTTGTTTTAAGCAGATGTGGTAGGCCACGTAGATGTGGAAATGAGCTTCATGAAGGAAGAAGTTTATACTCACAGATCCCTAGGGATGGGGTGCGTGGCTCACCATGCAGGGCCTCTTGGGGAAGCACCTGGGTTGGTGAGGAGGCAGAATGAGCAGAGAGGAAGGCACGGCCCAGAGCCTTTATTGGGCTTTAGTGGAAGGAACTGGCGAGTCAGGTTAGGTTTGCTGAGTGAGCTTAGGATTGGATAGCTTGAATGATTTTGGCAGGCTCTGGGCTGTAATAGTGGTCCCTGGTTGTTTGGTACCTGGCCCCAGTGTGATTTAGGATAGGGGAACATTGACCAGGTGTGTGGCAATTTGAGAGTGCGGGCTCTGGGCTGGTTGACTGTGTATCACAAGTGTGCTTGCTGGTTTGTTTGCTATCTCTAGAAACAGCCAGCCCCAGGAGGGGCAGTCTCTGCAGGATCAAGGCCTCAAATGCCAGAGCATCCAGAATAGAGAGAGAAAGAAAATATAGTCAGTACAGCAGGCAGGGTTATATATGCACATATCTCCCTACTCCCAACTCTGACCATCATGGTTTGTCCTTTTTAGGAGGTGTGTAGAGTGGAGTTTTTTCCTACTCCTAGGTGATCATTGCATTTTATGTTTCCTGTCTTCTAAATGTAGTGAAATATTGCTAAGTGGAACATACTAGCGCAAATGGGGGATTCAGAGCTGATGCCACCCTTCCATCTGTGGAGGGGTTAGATTATTTCCTCAAGGAGGTGAACACAGTACTCAGGATGTGCCTTGTCTGGAGGTCTTCTCTTCCTGTGATAGCAACATGGGCCATGTTGTTTTTCTCAGAAAGGAGACGCAATAAGGTTTAGCAGAGATCTCTGGACCCAGAGTCAGCCAACTGCCAAGCAACATCCTTCTCCTTTATAAAGTGATGGGGAGCCAAGTTCGATGATTTCTAAGGTTCTCCGTCATCTCCAAAATTACTTCTTCTAACGGTCACCACATTATTCTTCTAATAGACCGGAATAAAACAGCAAAAGGTTAATCTTCTGGGAAGAGGCCTGGGTTCTGGCAAATGCCGTTGCAAACATTTCTCAGTTACATTTCATCGCAAACATTCTTCATTACATTTCCAGATGGCATCTTGGGTAATTCAGGACATCCTCTGGGTGGCTTGATTTTAAATGACTCAGATGAGTCACAGAGAAACCTCTGGTCCCTTGAGCAGCTAATTAAGACACTCCCCGCCTCAAACTGCTTCTCCATCTGCTGAGCCTTTGTAGGAAAAATAATGAAGAATTTATTGTCACAGAAGACTTGATCTTTGCCCCTGTTTTCCAGTTGACATCCCCAAACAACATAATGAATTAAATATAAATATAGAAAGCATGTTGGATTTTTAAGAAGTGTACACTGGGAAAAATTGAGGCAACCTTTTATATCCTTCCTTCTATGACACATTTTCATGGAGCTCTGCCATCGCAAGCTCTGTGCTTGGCTTTTGGGCTTGTTCATTTCCTGACAATTTTGGGTACCTGTCCAATAGTCTTCTCACAACGCACGGTCTTTCTAATTAAACTGCTTGCTCTATTCCTTGTTCCAGGTGTGTGATATGGTTCCTTCCAGCTTCCATGTCTTTTATGTTTTTAGCGTGTCCCTTTTGTTCTCTTTCACCACATACAAATTCTACATCTATTTAAAAACTATTTCTGACCTTTAGACCTCACTGATTTCCCTTTCTTTGGAAAACTGAAAAGTCTTATAGTCAGTAAGTAAAAAAAAGAAATATACGTCTATGCTGTTAGTGCTGTGAAGTGGATTCTGACTCCTAGCCACCCCGTGGACAGCA